TAATTACCTGTCGTGGAGGTTCTACCAACTATTGATTTTGAATAAAGTTAATTTTTCTTTTCTATCACAGGTGTCCAAATACTTATTGGTAGTCAGTGTATGGTAAGTGTAATTCAAATTAAGAGAGTAATAAATGGTTAAGCCTTCACAGTCAAAATATTCATGCGGTTTCAAAATAAATAAATAACTATAAACATAAAACTATGAAAGCTTTCAGATTTACGCCGAAAGGGGCGTTTTTTAATGTTTTCTATGTTACTTTCATTTATTAAATATCATGTTCTCCGCACTTAAACCATGAAATTCAGTTCAACAGCAAATCGCAAAATAATTTTAAAATGAGCATATCTTTAGAATTTCTGATACACAATCTCGCACGCTTGAGATAAAAATGTTTTTTTTTCCCCCTACAGTATTGCCATTGCTCGCTTTGAAATCGCTGAGTTTGCTAATCAAAAATTCCTCAAAGATTTACAACACAGGAAACAGGAACATAAAAATCAATAAAAAATCTGAAAGCTTTCAGATTTTACATTACGCCCAAAGGGCCTTTTTTTTAACGTTTTGTGTGTTACCTTTATTCATGTCAGAGTATCATATTCTTCGCACTTAAGCCATAAAATTCAGTTTCGACAGCAATATCGAAATATAATTTTAAAATAAGCGTATCTGTATAATTTCCGATATACAGTCTCTCTCGCTGGAGATAAATTTTTTTTTCGTACAGTGTTGTCATTGTTCGCTTTGAAATCGTTGTACAAAATATGAAATAGATAATAAAACAAATTCCATATTTGGGCTTCCTGGTGCCCATATTCAGGTAAAATGTACTTTATGTAAAATTGATGGCTCTAGATACCGTTCTTTTATCACAAGGCGAAAAGCATACATACATTTATGCAGATTCTTCATTATTTAATTTCTTTAAATATAATACAAGGCGATAATCTTTGGTGGCAACAATTTGAAAAGTGAACCGACATTTATAGTGATCCAACGCAAAATGCCAAAACTAAATAAATAGTGCTTCTGGGCAAATTGCCCCTTTGGACTAATAATTTAAACACATTTAGATATAGTTGTAATAAAAGGTAAAAATGAAAAATAATATTAACTGAAGGACTTTTATTGCTGCTTATAAGAACTTATATGATACAATCTTTTTTTAAAAAAAAAAAAAAAAAATAGCTGGTTATTTTTTGCTTGACACAATGACTTACGCAAAACTTTTACGTTTCGTAGTAAAGGGTTCAGAGTTTTCTAGTGCTTTTCATAAAAGTGGCTTCTTCTTCACCTCAAAATCAGACAGTTTCTGTGCCTTTTTTAACAATTTATTTAAGGCGTTTTATCTTCCTCACAATCGACTGGGATTAAAAGACCATCCAATTCTTCATTCGTTATTCTCGATTAATTCTTAGATTTCATCTATATCTAAAAATCCTTTACCTTCAATAACTTTTCTATTCCAAGCTAATAATATTTTTTCCATTTTTCCAGTTGTAAATTCTTTAAACTTGAGCAACCTTTGCCGAAGTATCGCCTGAAGCTTTTTTGCTAAACGTAATACTTAATTCGCTCTCTTGTATTGTTCGAATCAGCCTTAAAGCTTCATTCATTTACAGCTACTTCTCTTGTAAGTTATGAAACACATTTATCATTTTCCAACTTATTTAAAATTTCAGTTTCCTGAAATAATGTCAAAACTTCGTGTCTTCTTGATGCTCAATAAACTTCTTTCTTCTTCTTAGGTGTCATACCGAATTTTTTAAATTAAAAGAAATACAAATGCAAAAGAGGATAAAAACTTACAAATAAGTTATTATAACTCTGCTAATGTGAGTGAAATAATCACAACTTGGCCTTGCTCACTGCTAGCGGATAGTACTATGCAGCGTTGTCAGGGTAATGTGGCCATTCAGACGCAATACGTCTTATAGCATACTGCGTATAAATGAAATCTAGTGTTAGACATTAAGATAATGTGCATGTGCAAAATATTTTTCTGCAAATCTACTCTTCGCAAAGGCAGTACAGAAAAGTTATTTTTATAACTGTCCCGTTTAAAGCATAGAAGTATCAATACGTTCAGAGAAGCAGATTTTAACCTCAGATTTCCTTATATGAAGTCAAATGCACCCATTTCCTTAAAACTTTATGCTGAAGAATATATAATAAGAAAGAATAATTTAATTAGCACCATAGTTTGCAATACAGGCAGTGTTAGAATTAATTATTAGTACATCTAGGGAATAGAATCTTATATTCGTCTACTGCATTCGCATATATTAGTATCACTTGATAAAATTTCATCCAGTCCTAACTGAGAGACAGAGTTTTTGGACAAGTAAATTAAGAAACGAAATTACAAGAATTACATGGAGAATCAAACAAGCACACTTTTATAAACCATAAGTAAAGGTGACCCAATCGAGGAGGAATTTTTTCACTAACCCAGTTAATCTATACCCAAGTTCATCAGCTAAATAGTACCATTAAGTCCCAAAACATTTTCATTATTTCTAATCGTGAATTTGTGAAAAAACAAAATCGGTAAAAAAAAATGCATCCATACAATGCAACTAATGCAAATAGTTCAAGTATCATAATAAAGTATAAGAACTTAACAGCAAAGAATTAAGAAACATAAACATTAAAGAACAACTATTAAAAGATTTCAGTTCACAGTAAAGTGCTATTCAATTATATTTCAAGTTCATTGCTGTAAAAATCTTTCATTCTTCATAGCTTCACAATACCCTCAGATTTTTCGTTACTCATGATATAAGTCTGTCAGTATTTTAAATAATCAATGCCTAACATAAATTTATCAAGGCTTTGATTCTTACGTTGATTTGTCGCGCTGTGAGGTCCGAATAATGAACAAAAATAATATTAATTTCATTTGAATTATTTTACTTCTTTTCTAAAGATTATATCCAAAAAATATAGTAATAAAATTCACAAACCTATTTATCAGTTATTACAACCATAATATTAAAATTATGTTTCACTTTCCAAAGAACCATGTTTCTAATACAGTGCTTGTTCAATTCCTACGAAGCTAAATTTGCAAAGTAAAATCATTTTTCCTCAAGCAACCAAATGCAGTTCTACTTAAAGAGAAGGATAATTATTACGTTTTTCTAGAAGCGATAAAAAACTTCTATTATATCCACTAAACAGTTATAAACTTATGTTTAAACCTCAGACTCAACCTAACCACTTTTTTTAATGAATTAAGTTTTACAGTCATGAAAAACTGCTTTCTAAATCTCATCTTTTAATATTTAAGTATAACTATTTTTAGAAATCTCCTCTCACTGCAAACGCCTCATGAGACTGCTGTGAAACAGGAGATTTTTATCTTTACTGGTTAAAATCATATATGAATCGATTTTTGTTGAAAGGACAATGTCCATATTTTGTCAATTTTGAGATTTTAACGTTTTCTCATTCTACAAATATAGACGCACTTACAGTTGAAGCGGCACATTTGATTCAATTCTGTATGTACTGGCAAGCGGTCGAAGATGGAGTTTATTGTTGAAAGGGAACATGCCCAGCCTGTGAGCCTTTCCTCCACGTAACACAGCGCGGGGCAGGCGTCGCCGGTGAAACCTCTCGTTGTTGTTGAAACCTATTGCTCTCTCTTATCTGACAGTCTTTGTAACCATTACATCATCCTTTTGCTTAGGTTTCTTCATTTTTATATAAACTATATAAGACAACATATTACAGTGTCAGCAAAATAAATTCATAATTTTTCGGATGGTTGCACGGATCAAAACCGAAATCCTTCCGTTTTAAGTTTCCTCTTAGAGCTTTCTGTGAACAGAAAAATTTGATTGTTAAGCAATATTTTCCTGGAAGGGGACATAGCTTCCTGCACTGTGATACGGCTTTCGGTGTTATTAAAAGTCATATAAGAAAGATGGATCGAATATACACACCAGCCCAGTATAAGAACCTCATCTCTGAAAGCAGTTCTGATGGTAAAATTTCAGCTATATTGCTGGAAAACAACATTGTCCTAGACTTCAAAAGCTGGTTGACAACATGCTTCAAAAAACAAGTTGTAGCTTTGGAGGATACTGCACAAAGAAGATGTAGAGGAGCAAAGCAATCTTTTAAAATATCCGATTATTATGTAGAGCTATTAGGTTATTTCGAAGCAGGAGAAAAGAAAATGAACAACGCCTTCGCCGGGACTCGAACCACGGGCCTCTCGAATACGCGGAGCGTGATAACCTCTCAACTATGAAAGTATGCTAGGAAGGCGGGAGAAATACCTTATAGACACCCCATTTAAAAGGCAACTGGGGATTAAGGGACCCAGTCGCCAAATCCTGGTGGTGAAGAATCATCATTCACCACATTTCAGTTCGGGCGCCACTGTAGAGACATTAGGTTATTTCGAAGCAGGAGAGAGGAAAAATGAGCAACGCCTTCCACGGGACTCGAACCACAGGCCTCTCGAATACGCGCCCAGCGTGCTGACCATTACACTACGAAGTCATGCTAAGAAGGCAGGAGAAATACCTTGTAATTATTATTTCGAAATGAAGGAGGGGTTTTGCCCCTATAACTCGTTAAATGGTTTGAATAAACAAAACTCTAAAATTGAGGAGACCGGAGGTAGAAATAGTTTTTCTCTCTGCACCAGCCTAGTCTGGGATGAATTTCATTAACGTAAAGAAAACAGACGATATCGAAAAAGTTATTCACTACATACCAGAAGAATATAAGGATTTTTACACCATCACGTTATGGCCAGTTTCTACGAGAACTGCACCTTTCGAGAGAGAAGACAACACCTAAGTTTAATGTGGTTGGTTAAAATTGTTTGACTATATTTGGGTTTCAAACATTTTGTCAATATTATGCTCAGTATTAAAGATTTTTGACAAAATAATACATTTCTGGGGCAATCAATGTCATTTCTAATGAGACGAAAAACGCATAAGAAATTTATAACATATAAGAAAACGCATAAGAAAATAAGCGTTCAGAAAACTTCACAGATTTTTAATGATAAATTTCACTTAAATACAGAACATCACAGAAAAAATCAGGAAATCACAGTATCTTTTCGTTATTTTCAATAAAAAACTCTTTGCGTTAAATATTGTTATCAGGTCCACTGAACATATCTGGTAGAAGGAAGTACAAGGATACAAGTTCTGGTAAAAGGATGTGGTACTGACAAGAGCTGAAACGTATAAAAATGCAAATTATGAACTATTAATTATCTGCTATAAATTATTTCTGATAATTTATTTTCTGAAAAGAACGACACTTAAAAAAAATAAACAAAAGCATATTTTTATCTGAGAGAAAATTAACTAAAAACATTTTTATCTGACAGACTGATTTTTAAAATAAAAATGTCCTCAATTACTAATAACTATGCTACCCAACTACTAGTAATTATGCTACCATTAAGTGTACAAAGACAGGAGCTAAAAAATTTACTAACTTGTAACAAAATGAACAGCAATGAAATGAACAAACAATCAGTTTTAGTTAAATATTAATTTTAAGGATCTATTTCATGGGAAAATCATATATTTGGCAACAGCTATCTTGAAAAGTGTATAGCACCGAGATCATACTGAGAATTTCAGTATCTTTCCTATGTTTCTAGTACAATGAATCAGGTGAAAAGAATAAAACATGGAAACTGCTCTAACCAGAAATTGTAGGGGATATACTAGTCAATTCACTTATCAACAAAAAGGTAATGTTGATTCTCAAGTATAAATGCGAATGCCACAGGTACAGTGATAACAGATACAGATATCTCATGAGAATTATCCTCAGCATTTAATATATCATATATCAATTAATTTACTAGATTCTCATAAATGTATCACGTAACTGTACTATTATAAGTGTAAAAGCGTAACTATACTATTATTAGTGTAAAAGCATCTTAAGTCACTGACTTGAACCATATTTCAAAACTTTCTCAAGTAAACCCAACTTTGACAGCATGAAGAAATGGAATTAAAAGCAGGCTGATATTTCTACTTAACTACTTCATGGACACTGACACATATCTGTGCGTTTAGTTTTTTAAATTAAAATTATTCCATGTGTAAATAAAATACTATTGGAGAACTTTTCCTTTCATTCGAAATATTTCTATAATAAAAATAAAAACTTGTTATACCGAAGCACTCATAGTATTTTATTCTACCTGTATTGCCCGTGAATGCAGTACGAATACCGCATTGTTCTTGGTATCAGGCTAGACATGTACGTTACTACCTTGAAAATATAATTCAAAAATTCTCCAAGATGTCATTACAAAAACTGTGCGAGATGAACTCGCTACATTTCGAAAACTATAATAAACTATTGTGGTCAACATGCATGAAAAAATACTTTTATTCATAGTTTGTCATTAATGTTCAAAAGCAACATATTAACATAATTGCTTTGTGTATATTTATTGTTTCTTCGGCTCACTGACTCGTTACCGGCATAAAATAAATAAATCATAATCAAACTAAGAAATTAAAACCGTTTTGGGACATGAAATTTTTTTTATACCTAAAAGCGTTAAGCAGAAAAATGTGTTTATATGAATGCATGTTAGTCGATAGAGATGTCCATTTGGATTAGATCCTAAATATAGTGGGAAAAGCGTTAGAGATAATCAACCATAGCGTAAAAATATTATTAAAATTATTATTATTAAAATGTAAAATTTAAATTTTGCGTTATATACAATCTTAATTCTTGTATTTATATGAAAATATGAAGAGAAATAAAGCATGCATACATCATAGCAATGGCGTTAAAGTTTTGAATGGAAAAGGTTCTTAAAATTTTAGCTAAGGTATTAACTTGTTGTAGTAAAATAAAATAGAATTAATTCTTTTTCAAAAATACCCTTATTAGAAATATTACCTTTATCCATCTTAATCTTCTTAAAATACTTTTCTTGAAATGTTTATGCCCATTTCTGGGCATAAAGGAAAACCCCTTTCTTTGGGCGCATAGTACTTATTGCTGTTGTTATTTCCAAGTCTGTCTGTCAAAGGAATTAATAAAAGTATTTAAATGTGATTTTGAAATACATTGATGCCAGAAAAATATTATTAAATATATTTAAAATATTATACATATGAAAAGCTAAGCTTGGCACATGTGACTCACTTTTTAAAACCGGTTATGCCAAATGTATATCTTATTTTTCTTCTTAAAAACGAATTACTTTCCTGAAATCGATAGCTAAAATGGTTGCTTTTTTTCAGAAAATAAAAGAAGCTGGTTACTTCGTGAGAAAGAATAGCAATTTATTATTCTTGATGACAGCAGAGTGACTGTTTATGTAATGGGCATAAAAAAATGTTAGTATACGTTTCCGAATATTATTATCACTTGAGAGTAGAAATACGCTGCTGACCATTACAATTGCAACATCATGAAGGAAAGCAAATACAAAAAAGATATTCATTGCACGGTAAACAATATGGCATGAATTTATTAAATTGATTAAATTTGCATGCATTTTGGAGGTTTACAGGAATGTCAAATTAATAGAAACTGCTGTCACCCCTGGCAGCTAAAACGACCCTTACCCCATTAGGCATGGAGTCAAACTGTGCTTGGATGACAGAAATGGACTTCATTACATGCTGCGTCAAGTCTATGTCACGCTTTAGCAACCGTATAAGCTGGAGACGGGTGTCGGACCAGTCTCTCAGCAACCCATGTCCAGATGTTTTCAATGTGTGACCGTGCAGGCCAGAGCAGCAATCGAATACCCTGCGTATTGAGGAAGTTCGGAACACGACGTGCAACATGTGGTCTTGCATTATCTTGTTGGAACACGGCGTTTGGCAGGCCTCGAAGACAGGGCATTACCACTAGGCGTAAGATGTTAGAAATGTACCCATCTGCGTTCTAATTGCCGTCGAGCCGAACGTGTTGTGTACCCAATGGCTGCCCAAATCATCACATCAGGTTCAGGGCCACTATGTTGATATCGAATGCAAGCAGGCGAAGTGCGGTCTCCTCGGACACTCTAGAGAAGTATACGGCCTACGGCCATCAGATACTGCACGTAGAGTCGGGAGTCGTCTGAAAAAACGACATTGTGCCACTCTTGCTCCCAGCTTTGTCGTTCGGCACACAAGAGTCGCCGTCTCTCTCTCTATGCTGCACTGCCAAGGGAATCCGAGGTAATGGTCAACCTGCTGATATTCCAAGCTGCTGCAAACTTCGACGCACCGTACGAGCGGATACTAGGGGTGCTGCAAACATGCCCATTTCCTGACTAATGATCCATGATGGGGGTGTTACTTTTTTGCAGGGCTGACCTCACAATATGTCTGTCCTCTCTGGGGTTAGTCACGGGAGGGCAATGAGATCCCCTGCATGCCGTCCAACATGACCCTCATTAATCCATTGATTCCATATTCGCATGACAGTGGTTGGATGTCAACCAGTGCGACCGACAGTATCACGGACCGATAATCTACACTTTCGATAGGCAAAGATCCTGCCTCTATCGAATTTCGAAACTGGCTGGCAAGCATTTCCTCTTCTTATTCAAGGCATAACAAGATATTCTGAGCAAACTCCAAACTTACAAAGCACTTTCCGAATAAGAAATCCACTAGACAACTTTTCTTTTTACGGCCTGTTTCAGATGTCGTTTCTCCCTCTTGCATTGTTTAAATGCACTGAAATACCAATCATTTGCATATCCAACTTCTTCCTTCCGTGTGATTTTGACAACCGTCAGATCATTCCTTCCTGGTGTTGCAATTTTAATGGCCAGCAGTGTATAAGTTTCTTTGATGCTTTTTTAAAATATGTTCCCAGAAATGCCATGGTTGTTTCTTAGTGCCTAGTGTTTGTGCAGAAAAGAGACACTCAAATTACACGGTGACTTGAAAGTACTCTCGAAAAACTGGTAGTTGAGAAAGAGGGTGAAGAAAGAAGAGATTTAAGCATTACTAGTTCCAGACAATCATGTGACAGAACATCTGGACAAGTTGTGTCAAACCGCTGGCTCGCGAGCACCTACTAGCCCGCTATCCTATTACTCACAGTATTGCCGTGAGACGATAACTTTAGTCTAATCCTAATGTAAGAAACAACCATAAAAACATGCAGTTGCACGTTACGTGCAGGGCGTTGTATTTGCGTTCATCTACTCGTGTGTTATCATATAAACTATACCTTGTTTCTCTGTGTTATTTGAGTTGCGGATTAGGCAGAGTGCCTGCTGCGCATCTTCACAAACAATGAATCATCATCCGGCCATGCAGTCGACGGTCATCAGTCATTAACTCACTTGAAATAAGTTGACAAATGTTTGCGGTAGCGGCTACCAAATTGCACGGTTTCGGGCGAGTTTTAAAATTAACACTTGAATTAATTGGTTTAGTTTACCTTCTGGAATGCACAAGTGTCAGCCTTGCTTCAACTTGTACCTGTTGAAGATTTTCAAAAACAAGGCTTCTAGAAATTGCCTGTTATGGCCGATTTGCCACTGATTTTTTTTCAGTCTACACTGAAGTCAGCAATTATTAAAATTCAGACGAACTGGAATTTTTATGAAATTAAAAAAAAACCAGTTATATTTAGACTGTTATTTTTGATATCCTGGTACGCATTTTCGCCACTAATGAAAAATGTTTTGTGAAAGCCATAATATACTGTTTTAATTTTTTCTTAAATTTAAAGCTGCTCTATTTTCTGGAATTTAAAATAATGTCTTTTGTGCAGAAACAGCAAAGGTCTTTGAAGCGTTGTGGGAAACAGTTTGTCATTTCTTAATTTTTCATTAATCATTAAAATGCAATATATGAAGTTGTACTACTGATTTACAAACAAGCCTGATCATTCTAAAAAAAATATGCAAATGTTTATATCAAACGGATGGCTGATAAAATGCTGAACATACAAGTGTACAATTGCTCTTAGTAAAATATTTATCCAATTCAACTATGAGCGGTACTTACGAAAGAAAAGAGCTCTCCAGAAGATGAGGGGCTGCTTTGTTATGGATTGCTGAATGTTGGTTCTTCGTTCTGAGTTTAAACCCAAATGAACCGGTTGGTTGCGTATTTTATATCCGTTTTTTTCTCCGTGTGTAATATGAACACAAGCCAGTTTTTCTCACAAAATCCTCTACGAAGGCTTCCTTCCTCAGTGGATAGCCCTCAATTTTGCCTTATTCAAACAACATAACATAATCTCCAAAAATCAAATCTGATATTCCTATAACTGCCTACGGATGTTTTCATTTCCGGTTTCTTAGTTTAACCATCATTTTAGACAGTCTCTCTTTCCAAAGTATCACTTTTTGTATCTGCGCAACAAGCCTAATTGGTATTACTCAATAACTGATTTCAAAGAAGCATCAATAGATATCCTTATAAATTTATGAGGTCTGCATAATAAATACCAAGGAAAAATAGGCTATATTTTTAAGGAATAACTTTACCTGTCTTCAAAGAATAAATTATAAAATGTCAAAAGTTATTTACGTATGACATCTTCGTTATACACCATTCTCAACAGAAATTTGGGACCAATTTTGATAAAATCTCTAAAAGAACTTGTATACTCGTTGGGCTTTAACATCAGAGATTTACGCAAAGTCGATTGATAATACAGTCTGCACCTTATTTAATATTTCGTTATTAACTTTCGATCTGATTTGCTTGTACGAATATTAAGTGTACCTCAAGTATCATATCTTTATCAGTAGCAAAATAAAAAGTGTTATTTTGCCTCATTTTTTACTATTTTCATTAATAATCAGAAACCTTTCGCAGACTTGGGCATGATTCAGTTACAGTATAACAGATTAATAATTGAACTACAATATAAGTAATCAGATTGTAATTACAATTAATAATACTTGTAATTACAATGTAATTATAATTTTGTGATTAAAATTAATTTGCAGTTTAATTTAAAATTAATTATAAATGTAGTTACAATTTTGATTGTAATTACAGCGTAATCATAATTTGAAATTCTTCAGTTATAATGTAATTGTAAGTCAGGTAATTACAATATAATTGAAATTACAGTTGATTCAATTAAAACATAATTGTATTCTAAATTGTAGTTTCAACATAATTGTAGTTATTGGAGAAGTCAAGCAACAAGAATCAGCGTAATATTTGTAATTTTTCAGGGCTAATTTCGATGGTTTAACTATAGAACCAGCTTCCTCAGCTGCCTAAGTGCAAATGAACGAGATAAGATATGGTGATAAGATAAGAAGGGCTGGACAGAAGTTAAACTACTGGCGCCATCTATTGATGAAACAAGGAAACTAAAAACATGATTTCCAAGGTAAAGATGGATTGGAATTACGGTCGTCAGTCAACTAGAACAGGAATATTTTTGAATGTAAAACTCCTCTACCACATCCAGGTCACCGATGGAAGATGGTTTCAATAATTTTGGCTGCAGAAAAATGGAAAGTGTGATTTTACGGACCAACAGTGCTGGGCAACAGATGATTTATGTTTCTTTTTTCCTATTTCTTCTAACATTTACCTCATGTTCTTTAACGCGAAATTTTAAAGCTCTCTTTAGTTTGACCAATGCAAATTAAACCACACTGGCAAGGAATCATGTAAATACCCCAGGAATTCTTAACCTGAATGGGTCCTTAAGTATGAACTGGAAATTTTATTAATAGTAGAACAAAGGTACACTCTCGTTTTAGGACATTATAGGAATTCTGTTGCCGCTAATTTCTTTCCATGGATTAACTATACAATTGCACGTATTTGTCAGAAATTTAACTTTCGGAGCATTTTTTTCTCTTTGTTTTCTTCTCTCTCTATTTTTTCTCCTGTTTCTCCTTTTTTAAAAAAATGGCTTAAAAATAAATGTAGATTAGAAAAATGCAAAGAATTCTGTGAAATAAACGGAATACTGAAAAGTCGAACGCGTTTTTGACTAAGTCTGCCGCAAAAATGTTGATAATGCAATTGTTTATTAATGAAATTACTCACTGAGATTTTCAAAAATGTCACATTTTTATCCTAATTAGTTGCTCCTAAGTAAAAATATAACTAAAGGCCTCTGGAATTTCTTTCTTTTTTCATTTACTAATTAATACATTCTTCTTCAGCATTTATAGCCATTAAACATTTTCATTTCATTCGAAAATTAAACATTTTCGAATTTTTTCTGTCCAAGATATGGCTCCGGACATAATTATGAATTCAGGATTCTACAAGTCAATATCGAACGTCTGCTAATCTTAATTACCCAATAACTAAGTTCAAAAAATTATTAATCAAAAAATATTATAACTGCTAAAAAGAACTATTAGGCTTAAATTATGGAGCAAAATACTGTGCATTGCATTATTGATTGCCTTACAGAAAATTACAACATACTTTAGTGCTTCCACCGTAAGGTGCAAACTTGAAATTTTGAAGAAGCTTTACAAGTGCTATTTTCATCTCCATCTGAGCAAACCGCAGGCCAACGCAATTTCTTGGACCAGCTCCAAAAGGCTGATAGATAGCCGTCTTGACATTTCTCTTATTTTCTGATAAAAACCTATCAAAATATTAGATACAAGACATATTTAATATTTCGTTTTATATATGTGCTTCACAGAACTGAACTTACTCGAAAAATGATAAACGAGATTATGTTAAAGGTAGTCTAAAAATTTAAGTGCCCAGAGATTATGCTAGGTTGAGTACATCGAGTACAGTATACTACGTCATTACACATGTTCGTCATATGGAAATGAAATAATTCATTTAGTAAAATAAATCAGTAGTCATCTTCACAACGTAAACAAAATTATATTTAAGGAAAACCAATTACAAGAATGCTTATGTCTGCATGCGAACACGAGCGGAACTAAACTTCTAACTCAGATATAGTTAAGAGTTATATACAGTTCCTTTACAGTTTCAGTTTTAAGTATATGAAGTAATGAAATTGAATAAACAGTTAGGAAGTAAATAATAGTTCGAAAATCTAGTTACGGTTAAACTGCCACTGTATTCCACTCCAAAGTACTGTAAATACTAACACATCACACGTAGTGAAGATTAAATTTCTCTATTCTACCAGAATATGTAGGTCTCTTCGAAGGCAAAGATGGTACTTCGCTTGATGAATCCGCTGAGCTAGTGGCTGTTGAAATATCGGTAGGAATAACTCGTACTGTTAGTGAACTGTCGTGATAGTCGGTAATACGTCTTACAGAGTAGTGAAGGCTGGTTTCAAACGGTCAACTACAATAACTCATTCTTTTCCGTTTATCAGAATGAAGTAATTCCCGGTTCGTTTGATAATGTGATAAGGACCATAATGTGGCTGTATGAATAGTGCTTTTGTTGTGTCATTACGCACGAAAACATGAGAGCAAGGTCTCTAGAAGGGGTGCTTAAACCAGAAATAATTAATATGAGCAGAAGTTGAAGCTAGAGATCATACGGGCATGGTGTTACAGAGATGCTGGAGGAAAACTGCAGGATCCGTCTGCTCCATGTGATGAGAAGGCTGTAAGAATTTCCCTGGTAAAGACAAATATGTTCCGTACAGTATTTCAGAATAAGTACCAAGGACTTCTTTGAAAGGTGAGCGACGCCAAGGACAGTAGAAAAGGTTTCATCCCAAACAAGCATACTTATAGTTCCTCTACTGCATCACCTTAACCCATATATTACTATTATCCTATATACAGGACATTACATATTTGATGCGTGTACCAAAAAAGTACTAATGTTTAAACTATTTCTTTCACATTGTATTATTGCTAGAAAGCTGCTTGTTATATTAGTTATTTTCTTTTAAATTTTTACTTTTACAAATCTGTTTTTTTTAAGGTATCCGACTACGTTCTGATTGTCAATTTTAAAGAAATTGTTCAAAAAAATTTTAATTACTTTAATTTAAAGCTTATATTTTTAGCTTCGCAAAATTATTTTTGTTTTGTCTCCCCGGTGATTAGAAGTAGAGTTATGGCTGTTTATGTTCTACGCCATGAACCGGATGTTGCTGTTTAAAAGGCGGGAAGTTGATATTTAAGGGACACAGACTGCTCTAAATAAGAATATTTCATTTGACTACTGTTGGCGATATTCAAAAGATGATTTGAAATATATATATATATTATTATGTGCTTAGAAGCAAGATTACTTTCGAAATTTCAGTATATTTGACAACATTTCCGTTTGTCTTTACATTCTGATTTGATTACACTCTGATTTAGCGTGCTTTCTGTTATTCAGTATTATTTTCTATCTCATTCTGCTTTGCTATTTTAACATTGTGATAAAAATATTTTCACTTTATTATTGTAAACGTCATAATGGGTCGGCGTGGAACTTTTCGTTCTAAAAAACGGCGATTTGCTGGAAACAGATATACTGTGTGTGTGTGTGATTATGGCAAAGCCTCGAGGGCTATCTGCCTAAGAGGAGGGATCCTTCGTGGAGGACTTTCTAAGGGAAACTGACTCGTATATACGTTAGACATGGGGAAAACCACGAAAACGCCCATACAGCCAGCCCGTTCGCGGGATTCGAACCTCGGACCGAACTACCAGTGTTCAGCGACTTTACCGCTCGGCCGCTGGTACAGATATACTGTGAAAGCTTTTGCCAGTGAATCGAAACTAAAAAACAATAAAACATTTTCTGAAAATTATAATGAATCTAATAATGTTGCTGGTAATGAAGCTGGTTATAGAATATTCGATGTTGAAATTCTAAAATCTGTATTTTCTGCATTATCCTGTCCAGTGTGTTTCGAAACTCAAAACAATGAGAGTTTTAATAACGTATCATGCCAAAAGTATCATACCAAAACAAGTGTTTGTTGAGTTGACAACATTGTGTCTTGGTTCTTATATAGGAATAATAAAGTTTAATAATGGATTTTTGGGCATGTTAAAAATATCGGCAAAAGTTAATATGAAACATGGACAATATACTGTTAAGGGATATAACTGTATTGATAAAACTCAAATTCTCGATTCAAAACGGCATTTTTTACATTCCGCAAAAATCACAAGAAAAACATTAAGAGCTTCTTTAAAGCAAAAATCTTCTAAAATAGAGTTAACAGAAGGCATAATATACAAAACAGGGCAGTTTTAGCAATGTAATATATCAATTCCTAATATATTTTCTAAAGATAAAACTTTAAATTTGTTTCTTGAGAAACTTGTTTTTGTCAACACTTCTAATACGAAAAACACCGTAACTTAAAATATTACTATAGCAATTTTATGATACTTCCCACAAGTATTCTATAGAATATTGGGAATTAAATGGACTAAAAGTTTAGGTTTATATACATATTTAAGATTTTTGCAGACAATTTTGTAAATGAAGAGAGAAAAATTTCTCGAAAAATAGCTAGTGTATGTACTCAAACAGGTACATTTAATAGACATTTTGTTTTATGACTTAGATTCCTTATACTTAGATTCCTTATCCATTTTATTCCTTATGCTTTAATAACTATAAGTGAAAAAAATAAAAGTAAAATATTGATAAATAATTTTGAGGGAACTAATCTCGTGATACTGAAATTTGAATACATTTTTTATCCAAAATGTGAGAAAAAAGTAAAAATTACATTTTAATAATATGTTTATGAACTCTTTCTATCATTTTAGGTAGCATTCTACTTATTAACACCAAAAATGAATTTATTTGTACACTTTTTCAAAATTAGGGTATCGAACGTAGTCGGATACCTTAAAACATACAAAAAGGACTAATTTTGATTTTTGCACTTTCTTTTGAACGCATAAAAAAGGGAACAAAAGGGTAAAGTAAAAAGTGTGGATTTATTTCAAATAAAGTAAGTCTTCATTAATGTGAATGACAAAATATCCGAAAGAATAATATATTAGAGATCCTTATTTTGCTTTCTTTTTTAGAGCGTCCTATATGCAGGACAATGGTAAAATCCACTATTATATGACGTCAAAACGTAACACCGTTTTGGAGTGAAATGTTCACGTCCGTTTCATGCCCTCGCTGTAAAATGTAGCGATCATCTGTTTCTTGTCCTGCGTCCCCTTCTATAAAGAGTTATATTTACCATCTAAAAGCTGTTTCACACGTTTTATTTGTATGAAAGAAATTTACTTTGTGAATGTTTATTTTGTAAGGTATATTTATTTTACGCATCCAAAATGAGTCGAAAATTTCTAACAGCTGAAGAAGCTGTGGAATATTTTATCACATTAGATAATGAAGATACCGAGCCAAAAATGGTAGAAACACCACTTGATCCAGATGCAGTCAGTGACAATGACGAAATAGACGATGACTGCACTAAGCACAGCCAAGCTATTTGTGACGAAAACGCAGCAGTAACTATAGAAACAGCAGAAACTGTGGAAATTTTAGTAGGAAATGGAGATGATGAGATATGTGTGTCAAACTTTGATTGGAATGATAGCGTTCCTAAATATTCGCCATGCTTCAGAAATATTTTCTCAAAATTCTAATCAGTCTCCAACTGATTTTGTTTCTGGAAAATCTCCTACAGAAGAGTATGTCGCTAAAAAAATGATAGACAAAGCTGTTATAAAGAGTAACAGATACGCTGGGCAGAAAAGTAATCATAATTCTTTATTGAAAAAAACGTATGAACTCAAGCAATTCTTAGGTATACATTTTTTAAGTGGCTACCACATTTTCCAACATGAAAAAGTGTTCTGGGGAAAAGCGCCAGACACAGGAACTATACTATTTAGTCGAGAAATGCCACGAAACAGATATTTTAAAATCAAGCGCTACATTCATTTCATTGACAATAGCACCATTGATTCGAACAGCTATTAACAAAGTACGTCCACTTTATGATTTATTGAATGATGCTTTACAACAATTAGGTGTATTTTACTAATATCTAAGCATTGATAAAAGAATGGTGAGCTGTTTCGGTCGGCATGGTTGTAAAATGTATATGAAAGAAACCAAAGCTCTTAATCTTCTAGAATATCGACGGGCTATAACAGTCAGCTATTTGGGATTATCAATACTCAAGAACATTCAAGGTAGAATGTTATGTGCGCAGCAGAGAAATCCGGACTTCTTTAAAATGTAAACTGATCATGTCATTGTCTTTTGACAATCCCTGATGGGCGTCAGCTTCATTGTCAATCTAAAAATTGTATTAGGAAACCAACAAAAATTTGTAAAAAATCTATTAATGGCTAATGTTCGAGCTGTTTTTCACCATTCCATTCAAACGTATGTGCTTGAAAGAAAATATTGCCCTGTGACTGCACAGCAATGGATTTGACCATCGTCCTATATATAGGACAGCCTGTAAACTCAAAGAAAATAAAAGTTTCGTATATTTTTCAATTTATTGTCTTTTCTTACCTATTTATAAAACAAAATTAGAAATTTCAAACAAAAATTTTAATTTCTTCGATCATTGGTAAAATATGGGTTAACGGTGTCGTTCAGTGATGTGTCTTGGTGGTAGTGAGTTCTCCATATAAAAGTCCGACGTGAATCAGACTGCAAGCTAAGCCTGGACTCTTCGGAACACATCACACGAGTCCACTG